TCCTGCTCCACCCAGAGGCGCCTCCACCTCTGCTGCTATGACCTATACGTGCTATTGAATTTTATTACTATTGTTGGCTACTTTTTGAATGATCTTGTATTTGTTTTGTTTGTATGGATGTGTTTCTGCTGCTACTGGACACCTGAATTTCACCAACGGGTATCAATAAAGTATCTATCTTATCTACACAGACAGTTCCTCAGCCAATTGACCAAAAACAATATGCATGCAACTTTAATAGTAAAATTCTTAAAGTAAAAGTGGTACATTGATCAATGAGCAAAGAGAGAGTTTTCAATTTTGGAGAGAGGCCAGCAGGTCTTTAGTACAAGCCATTCACAGCTTTAATCTTTATGTAACATTCTTAAGACTTTTTTTGTCGTTCATAAAATGTATATAATAAAATCCCTCCTAATTTCTCATGATTCTGAAACCTTTTCTAAACTTTTGGATAGGGGCAATCTTGCTTTAAAAAAAATAAAATAAAGATATGATTATGACCAGGTAACTATATTCATGTTAAAATGGCTGATGAATCTGTTTCATCTTTGCAAAGCTTTTAAAACTGCTCAATTTTTCTAATATTTCTATCAGCAGCAGTTCACACCATGGCCAAAATCTTAAACTTCATTAAAACACATGCAGTTTTTGATCCAACAATTATTTGAGTAATTATCATGCGTCCTCTGCTAACCCTTTGGGATAGAAACAAAAATATCATCTCACATTTGACTTGCTCTGAACCAAGGTCACACAAAGCGCTTCATTTTTCTCATAGATATTTTTTCCATTCACTCCAGAATAGCCAAACACATTGGCATCAAGGCCTCCGACCAACCCCGTTCGTTTTCTCACTCATTACATTCATACCTATTGTGCATGTTATAAAACCAGAGTACCAGAAAGCAATGCAGACACAGAGAGAACATGCAAACTCCACACAGAAAAGCCCTATCTGCAGGTCCTTGCTGAAGCACAAGGGCTTAAACATCTTACTAGCCAACATGTAAATTAAATAGCATTAAATAAACTTTTCACCTGGATTTAGTTTTCCCTCTGGCATATTCACTGAGCTGTCCCTGTAGCTGTAGTTTAAGCTGCTTCTGTAGGTGAACCCATTTCTTACTCTTATGCAACCGGTCTCAAATCCTTGTCTCTAAGCCATTGATAAGGAAGTGGACTATATTTCTTCCCTTCTGTAGGATGGAGCAGCTTCCTACAGTTGGAGGGAGGAGGCGAGTGTATACAGAACAATAGCAGGTAATTCTTGGGCAGTAACTATGCACTGAGCATACTTACCCTGGTGGAGGCTTATCTACTTTCTGCAGATGGGCTAATGTCCTTACTAGCAGAGATATATTTAGGATCCATGCTCTCTGTCTGTCTAACTGCAAGGTAATTCATTGACCCGGTTAGAAATATTTTAACATAAAAAATAATTACACGCTTGTTTGCAGTAATTGTGCTCTCACTTACAGAGCAGCCATCCTCCTGTGGACTCACCACCTGCAGGAGGATCAGAGAGGGGCTGGTGCTCTGTGAATTGGTTGGCAGCTCTGATTACCACCCCCGACCCAGAAATGGATTAAGGGAAAGAAAATGGATGGATGAATGGACGTATGATTATATTTAGATTTACATTCAGTACATGCTGAAATGTATTTTTCTCACTGGGTTTTTTAAGAGTTTTTCCTTGTCGATGCAGGAGGGTCTTGTTGGACAGTTAGTGTCCAACAGAAAGGATTGGTGATGATCAGGACACTTTAACATTCTACAACATGTATGGACATTTTCTTCTGTGTGTGCTTTATATTCTCCATGTGTTAACTGTTGATTCTCTGACCTGTGTTGGTGATTTCAATGGTTTTGTTAAGTCCTCTGAGATGACTTCTGTTGTGACCTAGGGCTATACAAGAATAAATTGTATTGTATTGTATTGTATATCGAAAATCTAGAGAGAATAAATAATTTATACCCATTATCTGACTTCCTGTTCGGAACTGCTGAACTCGGTCCCGCCTCCTCATAGTTGCATTTCACAGTGGATTTTCTCCTAGCAATGACACTAAATACAATTTTATGAGCAGAAACAGACAGTTCTATGACAGTTCTATCCAATGGGGGCTCAAAACTTTAAACTTCGATATCTCTGTTGGCGCCCGTACGCAGATAGAACACACATTTTCTGAGAACTAATGCCATGAATGAGGGACAATACAAAATTACTCAAACATGCAAAACTAAATGGAAGAAACCTTTGGAGAAGTTCCCAAAAGTGCCCTTTTTATTAGGCCTATATGTTCACACTGTGACCTATAAACAGACATTTTTATCTTTGAGTAATGACTAAGTTAAGTTAAGTTTTTATTTATATACCGCCTTTTCACTGCAGATCTGAGTCTCAAAGCGGTTTACAATTGTTAATTATGGGCATTTGTCTCTCACTCCACACAGAGATGGGAGCAGGGTCGCCAGTACAGGAGGCACATGCCAGAACTATTGGACATATTTTTAGTGGTAGGGGAAACCGGAGTACCCGGAGGAAACCTACGCAGACACGGGGAGAACATGCAAACTCCACTCAGAAAGGCCCTGGTCCGACCGGGATTCGAACCCAGGACCTTCTTGCTGAGAGGCGAGAGTGCTATCCACTCAGCCACCGTGCCGCCTAATGCACTAATTCAACTAATGTCAATATTTTCCCTTCAACTGGCTTTTGAGTTGACAGAGCAAAGCACCCAATGGTTTTTCAGGCAGGATGCTCTTTTCAAACAGCCATAATGCTTTGACATGTTATATGGAGCATGAAATGTCTTGCCCAGACAGACACACTACAACAGTCAGATGTAATGCCACGGATCAAACCTGGTTGCTTTTCTTTGCGGAGCACAGAACCCAACTATACAGCAACATATACTATTTTCACTAAGAACTGTGTAACATTAAAATCCAGATAAACATGTCTGGTATAATTTAACTGTGGTTAAAGCTGGGGCACCAAGTGTTTTTTCTCATAAATAATCCATGTTGTTTGTCCCAACACTAAAACATGTTGTTCTTTACATACTCAGTGAGTGACTATTTGAGGCTTTCGGGTGAGATCTGGGAGGCTCCTCTCTTTTTCACTTTTCTGTCTGAAAAAGCGGATCTAAAGACGTAACAGAGGTCAAAATACACAGGCATGTGAAAACTAGCGAAAGAACCAAACTGTTCTGAGAGCGAGAGACTAGTTAGAAGGATCTTATAACCGTTTATTTAATCGTGTAGATTTAAAGTTAGCTATCCCAGCTCTAACAAAGTCGTGAGGTAAGCTGATAACGTTTAGTCCTACGACAACAATGACGCCTGGAATTCGACCATTCAACACTTTCTTGAGCCGTGAAAGTGACATGTGGGCATTAGAGGGATCCATAGACAATCTCCTCTGAGTCGGTGTGGTCGGATCTCAGGGCGCCGCTGGTCGTGATGTCTGCGAGTGCATGTGATGAACTTTGGCAAACTCTGGCCGCTGACGTGGGTCTATGACGTCTCTCTGAAGGGAAATCCTCTACTCTCATCTGTCACTTGTTGGCTGTATCGAGTTCTGCCCCTGGGAACGGCCACCACCTGAGTGCATTGACCTACTCAAACTGAGCAGACAACTAAGACTTGACATTAAGAGCTAAAATAAGCATCAGTGAAAAAAAAAAAAAAAAAACGAAGCAACTCTCATTTCAGATGGATCATTTTTCTTTTAATTAGTTGATCCAGGTTTTCAGTATCCGTCTCCAAAAGGGTTGGTAGTATACAGTACGCCCTAATTGGACAGGCAGACAATCTCTTTAGAGCAATAGAAATCCAAATGACACATTTCTGCTCTTCATTAGCCAAAGTAAGACACAGACAACAGTTCTGCTATCAGCCAAACACAAACTGTACAAAAATAAAGATTGATAGAAAAATAGATCAGAAAACATGTTTGAGAGAATCTGCAGAGGCTAGCACTTTGGTCGTGATGAACAAAAGACTTTCATTTATTGCTTTAAGTGGGTAAATGTGGTTGTTTTTTGCACTGGCTTATACGGAATTACAGATGCAGTTTTGAGATCATGCATCATATTCCACAATACCAATTAGGTGAATTTGTAGTTCTTTATATACAAGTACACCCAATGTATACAAGCTTCCAGTGTGATTTCAATCTTTTCCATTAAATACGATCAACAGATGTTTTTGGACATTTAGGATCTATATGTTGGGGCAGTATCCATTCCACTCATACTTCTTTTCCTCTCACCAACAGTTTAGTGCCTTACACAATCCGTCACACTGCGATTATCAACTGTGTTTCACTCCCTTGCACTTCTGCTTTAGCTGCCAAACATTTCTCCTTTTGCAATATGTTGTCAATATTCTCATTTTAGTTTTGTGCAAGAGTTTAGTGCTCTGCTGCCCCTCCCCTCTCTCATTACAGATCATGAGATTATGTCTTTACTTCCTCTATAGTAATCAGATGTCCATTTTGTCCGGCAGATCTGCAGATAAGACCCTAATATTGACGTAAAAGGACTTGATTCAAAGAATAACTTAGCAAAGCTTAGTTGGTCTAATACTGTACATTCATCTTGACATCACTTTTATCAGTTCACTATATTTAGTTAAACAACAGAATATGTCTTCCATTTATGTATCATCTAGGCACTTACAAACATTATTTCTGTACAGAAATAACTCATGCATTGTTTTGTTGTTTTTGGTTTTTAAGTAGATATTTGAATTTGTAAACAACTTCCTATTTTGCATTGCTCTGCACAATACTGCTTGTGTAAATGTCAAAGGTGTGAAGCAAGTGGTGATTTTTCTGTCCTACTCATTATCGTTACATGTTCTTGTCAGTCATCAGGGCTGATGTTGAGCCAGGCGTGGCTCTGACAATGCATTGCTCCTGTTGACCTTTTCCACACAAACCAACAGCTCTCCTATGGAGAGGAATGGCGCTTACGTAAAACATGGCCTAAAGTTCAGTTGCAGGAGAGCCATGGAGCGTACATGGGATGCTGCGGTGGAGGTATGTACTGTTGAGGTGATATTGGACATGCATACATTGGTTGGACCTGTGCTATGTAGTAATTGTTAAAGTTTCCATCACAAACATATGGGGCTGGCTGGTAAAAGCAGGTGACATTTGCAGCATTTGGGATGGCATTTTGTTCAGCTAGGACTCTCAGTGCGAGAGAGGAGATGAGACTGAGTGTCTGCCGCCTCTCATGACCCATGAGGCACACCGTACTCTCCTGAACCACGTGGTATAACGTGGAAAGGTAGTCATACTTCCGGTCTTCTATGTCCACAAAGTGGTTCTGAAGGTAAGACTCCAGCTTCCTCCTCTGATCAGTCACATCTGGGAAGTCTATGAAGAAACGTGAACACATGTACCGCTGTAACAGTTTCATCTCCTCTTCAGAGGCGGCACGGAAGCCCCGCACCAGCAGGTGGCAGTATTTGAGTAGGCCCCCTCCTCGGATTTCCTCAGGACTCCTGGTGCAAATCAGGCGCTTACGCAAATGGTCCAGAGCGGTGGGGAAGTCTCCATAGACACTCTCTCCCAGGATGGTTGGGTGGAAGGTGGCGGCCATGGGATGTTCTGAGCACTCATAGAACAGCAGCAGTGAGTCCAGGCGGATCTGGAAGGAGTCTACGCTGAACTCAAACTGCCTTCGAAGAGAGTCCACAAACTTGAGCTCCACGTTCTTGCCGCGGTTGTTGGAGAGAGAGATGAGACTCCATCGGTCAGAGTCATTGCACACTTTCACCATCTTCTGCACATAGGCCTCCTGCACACAGTGAACATTCTTACTAAACACAACATGACAGGAGCGTGTTCTCAATTGGGATCAAGGTCCTTCATCAAGAAACCCTTTAGGATTGCAGAAAATAAGTAAACAAAATAATCTCTTAACACAAAACACTACAAGCAGGGTTCTGATACATGATTTGAAATAACACATTTTCAATTCTGAATCCATAAGACTGTTTTAAACTCATGTTTAGCTGATCACATCTGTAGTAGGTCAGCTGTCTCCAGGTAACCCAGCACAGACTGATTAATGTGGATCCTGCTCAATTGGATTAGACCTATCCTCTTTTGTTTCAACACTTTTAGTTATTGAACACATTTAGAGTGAACATTTTATATTGTACGTGAATCAGATACACTCTAAAACAGATGATTTGAACATAAATTCAACAAATTATTTACAGATACATTAAGGCATAGTATAAGAACTGGTCAAGGTACTCCCTGATGGTGTGGTTAAAATGATCACATACTGTACCACCAGTGTAAGAGTTTAGTGTACCTGTTATTTGAAAAAGTTTTGTAGCATTTATCAATAAAACAAAATAAGTGGAGGATACCTTTAACGTCACTGGAGTTATTTTTTCCTTATTGACTCCCTCTGGCAGAAAATCTAGAAGCGAGTCCAGAACTATGTCTTTCACAATTCGGAACTCCATCTCTCCTTTGAGTTCTGCACAGAAGATCAGGTCCAGGTCCTTCCAGCCCAGGCCGCTGTCTTCATGCAACACGTAGCTGGCCGCAGAGCCGTTCAGACGCACCTCTCTGACGTGGATCCCTTTCTCCTCCATGCGGCTGCGGACCACTTTGACGATGTCCCGCGGCTTCATCTCTAAAGTGGGGAAGCTCCATCTGCCGTGTATGGGTATGGAGCCTGTGAGGATGGAGTCCAGGCGCTGCACTTGCTCCCAGTTCAGCACGCTCAGGTTAATGGCCTCTGCGTTCAAGCTGTCCTCAACTTTTAAGTTTTCATCCATTTTAAACAAGCGAAAAAGTTGTGTTGTATAGACCTGTTAGGATCTGTTGGAGTTGACAGTGCGCATGCCACTGTTAAAGCATGTGGAGAGAAAAAACATCTTCATTAAAAGTCTTGAATAAAGCTGTTATTCCGTAAGCTTGTTCGCGCGTCTTGGATTTTTACTGTCGCATCCATTTCTTGCGTAAAACTTCTAGATGTTTGCGTCAATTTCATTCGCGTCTTGGAGCATCCTCCATGTTCTGGTCTCCTGCACACCAGCTTTTGCAAAGTGGTGCAGCGAAGACGAATTAATTACATTTTGGATTGTTAAATATATTTGTAAAGTCTTGCGAGAGATGCTATTGTCGTCAAGTTCCTCCGCAGCTGCAGCTCAACTTGTGAGACTGCGCTTCCCGTCTGAGGAGAGTCTGGGCGGGCGCACGTTTGATTGACAGCTGATACTGAGATACCGCCTCCTCCCTGAGGGGCTGGGAACCTGAATATGGCGAAATTAAATCAACGTGGGGCAACAACGATCTGCTGGATTCTGTCTCACTTATTATGAGATCATGACTATTCATTTGTTTGGGTCTAAAAGGTAAAACAAACAAAAAACATACAGAATTATTCTTCTCCATTCATATAACAAGACAATGGCGTTTGCTCATGTTTCACTACACTGTATTAGAGAAGTATATGCATGCAAACTCATTGAAATGTGCTCAGCCCAATACTATTCCCAATGCAAAAGAATAACATTTAAAGAGTGGATATTTGCAGAAGAGCTAGGTTTTTATGTTGAATCTATTAGAGAAGGTTCCACGCGCGTCACTGCAGACAAGTCCATAATGCTGCTTACTGCAGATTAGCCTATATGTGCAGAGCCACACTCACTCAGGTCACACAGGCATGCACACATCCACTCTGACATTACTGCAACAGCCCCACAGTGAATCTGAATGCGGAAATTGTGTAAATTAATTTTTTCAAAGATTCTGACATTGGATTAAACATTTAATCCACGTTTGAGTATTCACTCAAGTTTGACATAAACCATTGTCCTCCTTTGAGCGTCAGTATCACTCATATAGTGTACATTTCCAAATATGATCTCCTGAGTGTTGCAGAATCCCAGAATGTCTCATTCATCAGGGGCTGTGCAGCTTACAGCCTCTTACTGCACCTCTGACCTCTGACATGTCAAGTGGATGACACAGGCTTTGGACTGTGATGTCTGACGACATCCGAGGATTGACGAGGGGATTTCAGACCCCTTGTCCTCCTGCCAAACCAATTTACACTTATGGAAACAAAATTGAGACGACTGTATGTCAGCCTTCATGGCCACACGATTGGTGAAGCTTCTGAATGAGTGTTCAGTGCTGTAGATGAGGTCTATAACAAGACTTTTTGCAGTCAAATAGCATCAAACTGATTTTCTAACATTTAACAGTACATTTATATTTTCAACATGAGTAATCCTTGTGTGCTGTTTACCAACATCTTCTGTGTGATTGTACGACATGGAATTGCATTAAGAGATTACAGTGAGCCCGTTACAGCTGCCTACTTCCTCTTCCATTTCCACCACCAGCACAGCCAAGTTACATTTCAGTATATTGCAATGCCTTTATAACCAGGTACAATGTTTGAGAACAAATTCTGAAATGGTTTGAAACAACATGGGAGGACATGGATTCCTTTTTTTTCATTGTATGTCAATATTTATTCACAATGCCTCTCACAATTTTCACCAGAGGAAATAAGCTGACAGGCGTTTTGAGATATAAGAATAAGTAAAAATACAATATTCATAATCCATGACCCATCCAAACCTTTTTGTTTTAACAAATGCGACGGCCAAATAGAAGTCATTCATGCCAATTTAAGCTGCTGGAACATAAGTTTAGTCCTGTATTGAAATGCAATCTGATTTATATTGAGAAAGAAAATGGTTGGATTATTTAAATTCATAATACTTTTCATTTAGGCCAATTCAGCAGGAGGCTTGAGAAGCGTTTTTCATTTGACCCTTGTAAGACATCCTTCCATCTCCGTTCACCTTGAGGACGTATAAGCCTCCTATGTTGCTAATGAGATTCTGATACATTGAGGAGAGTCAAGCTGAGCCTCTCTACACTACTCACTGCACAAAAGACACATGAATTACATTTTTATAGGAACGCACAACGATAAACTAAAAGTGCACACACAAGCCTATACTTTAAACTTCAAGTAATTATCCATAAATGTTATTTAAGTTACTATTCAAGTTTATTCAAATTATTCATCACATGTACGATAGGACTGAACAATTTTGACAAAAAAGGATTGTGTTTACAGTTCACAGGGATCATTGATATTTGACAGAATACATGAGCTGCATGAGAATTCAAGGCAAAAGAGAAAAAGAATAACTTATATGGAGAGTCGGATTTTCATAGTGCAATTTTGAAAGATTTGCAATTTGTGCTTTTTGATTTTGTTATGCCGTATACTACTTTCTGTAACTTCAAAAATGCACAAAAGTGAGTTTATTTAGCCTCATCAAATAATTGTGTGTTACACCTGCATTCAAACAGTGTGTTAGTAGATATGTTAGGTCCAGTCTCATCAGTTCTCTCTCAACAGTTTTACAGATTTTTTTACAAGGACAATAAAGCATGTTGTAAATGCTATTCAAATATTATGACAAATATTATGCATGATCTCAGTTACAGAATATTTTTTTTAGTGTACATGTACCATCACATCTGTTAGGCCATTACAAAATACACTTGTGTCTGTGGCTGTGATTCAAGGTTTCTGATGTGTATCTGTAAAACCATATGAAAGTTATGTTTTTTATCTTTTTACTCCAACAGTTTCTTCTGTCTGGAAATCCCAAATAAACTTGACCTCGTGGAAAGAACTGTAGCGCCATCTAGTGCAGTCTGACAGGAGAAAATGCACCTGTGTTCATTAGAAAGCTCAGAAGATGGCGCTCTCTTCACATCAGTTTAACATATTATACAATCAGACCACAATATGCATATTAGACAAAAATGTATCTTCTGCATAAGAAAGAGTACTTTAAAATACTCAATACTTGAAACCTGATTGGGCTGAGAGCTGATTGGCTAAGTGAAGGTGGTTTTAACTCTATTCTTTTGCACTACTTATTTCCCCAAATATTAGCCAATTTTTACTCAATGTATTATAATTATTATTTACGGAATATGTGGTTTAGAAATATGAATAATTGTTCATGGTTATAACTGTAAACGGCTAGACATGGTATCATAGTATTTATGTCCACTTTTCTGACTGAAAATTTTTATCCAAAAATGTGAGCGGTCAAAATATAAGTTATTGAACCAAACTGTCATGAGCTTTATGGATTATTACATTTTCTCTGCTTTGAAAGTTAGTTATCTCAGCCTTAGGTGCGATTTTAATATTTATGATATTTCTCAAAAGTACATTTATTTCTGTAAATAAAATCAAGATGTGAAACCGATATATTATTATATAGACTGTTATGACTAAAAAATATGGGTAACGCTTTATATTAAGGTGTGCTTGTTAAGTATTAATAAGGTATTAATAGACATTAGCAACATGCTTAGATTGCTTATATGTACTTATAAACATATTAATAAGCTGCTCATTTCACTATTCTCTAAATGATGTTGTTCTAGTTATATGCTTTTAAGCATTTAATAAGTAATTAGTAAGATACTTATTAAAGGAGGAATATGTTTATGAATATATGAATAAGCTGCTTATTAAACTATTATCGATACCATGTTAATAGGCCACTAACAATATGCCTATACAGATATTAATACGCTGCTTATTAATAGGCAATAGTGGTAATAGGCCACTAAAAATATGCGTTAATAAACTGCTTATTACACTATTTTGCAGTACCCTAATCTAAAGCGAGGAGCATTTTTGTTAATGTCGAAAAAACACAACAATGATCTAAGATGTTTTTATTTATTCAAACAGCAACAATTAAAGTCTAAATGAAAAAAAATATCAAAATTAAGTTTGTGCCAAAAGTTTGTTAGTAACTTCAAGGAGCCATGATGCCCCTACTCATGCTCCGACCTGCTCTGTTAATGAATTTTGCTTTGGCAAAACAGTGAATCAACTGACTTCACGAGCCTGAGAGATTAGCGGAACTCGCCTATTTTTGAGAGCGAGAGTAAGAGCGGGAGCCAGACGAGTAGTTTGTGGCCGTAAAATGTGGATTTAAAGGACAACTCACCCTCAAATCCACTTTTTTTGTGTGCTGATAAACGGTATAAATGAGTGTCCAATAGTGTTGTCTACATATCCTGGTCATAATTTTGCCACTTTGGTGCAAATTAGTTGAAAGTTAAACTTTCTGCCTAAAACCATCTGTGAGGCGCCATCTGCTGGCGACCTGTATTATTACATTTGAATTTTGAATCTGGCGCCTGAGAGCTGACGTCAGCAGCCCCCCGCCCAGAGCTATATACACGGCCCAGTCTCGTTCACGCCCCCTTTAGTCCTCCAGGCTACGCCCATTTAGAGGAAGATTTGAACAGGAAATGTGAGTGACGTAAGCTCCGAGGAGCGGGGGTGAGAACCACTTTAAAGAAAACTGAAGGATTTAAGAAGAAAAAAAGTTCAGGATGACAAGGGACACTAAAATCCCCAGAAAATCCGAACTTTATGAAAGCTGTGGGTTCTCTGTCAGGTTCTCTGTCAGCTGAGGTCGAGCTGTTTTAATTTACATTGAGTTCTATGGGACTTTTTCTGGGTAGCCCACGTGAATTTAGTCTGCAGTACCACAGCGCCCCCTGTGCCCATGGGTGGGACAGCTATAAGCTAGGAATACACTATCCAGTTATTATTATAGTTCCATGGTTGTGCCACAGGTGCGTTGTATACATGGATCTATTATAATAACTGGATAGGGTATTACTAGCTTGTAGCTCGGGAGATTCTCGTGGTACTGCAAACTAAATTCACGTGGGCTACCCAGAAATTGTCCCCATAGAACTCAATGTAAACTAAAACAGCTCGACCTCAGCTGACAGAGAACCTACAGCTTTCATAAAGGTCGGATTTTGTGGGGCTTTTAGTGTCCCTTGTCATCCTGAACTTTTTTTCTTCTTAAATCCTTCAGTTTTCTTTAAATCCACATTTTACTGGCACAAACTCTAATCGTCTGGCTCTTACTCCCTCTCTAACTCCCGCTCTGATCAGCAGCTCTGATTGGTCAAAGCGCGGCCCCTATGTGCACGTGCATGACAGCCACGCACGCGTATTTGGCGCAAAGCATCATGGGAGCTCGTCAACTGCGCAGAACCGGTAGGACCAGACAATGCCCAAAAATAGGCGAGTTCCGCTAATAGGGGTGTGACGATACTTTCTCCCGCGATTCGATTATCGATATCATCAATATCAATTTTGATACTCTTTTTCGTTTTTATTGGTATCAATACTTAATATATGGCTATATTACGCATCTCCATTCTATTTATCATGAAATAAAGAGTATTTTTTATTTTATTTATGCCATATTGTATATTTCTGACCAATATATCAATAATCGTCATATTGTGATAAAATCGTTATTGTAATCTTTATCGTGAGCTTTGTATCGTGTATCGTATCGTATCGTGAGGTACCCATAGGTTCCCACCCCTGTCCGCTAATCTCTCAGGCTCGTGAAGTCAGTTGATTCACTGTTTTGCCAGAGCCAAATTCATGAACAGAGCAGGTCGGAGCATGAGTGGGTTCATCATGGCTCCTTGAAGTTACTAACAAACTTTTGGCACAAACTTAATTTTGATATTTTTTTTCATTTAGACTTTAATTGTTGCTGTTTGAATAAATAAAAACATCTTAGATCATTGTTGTGTTTTTTTCTGCATTAACAAAAATGCTCCTCGCTTTAGATTAGGGTACTGCAAAATAGTGTAATAAGCAGTTTATTAACGCATATTTTTAGTGGCCTATTACCACTATTGCCTATTAATAAGCAGCGTATTAATATCTTTATAGGCATATTGTTAGTGGCCTATTAACATGGTATCGATAATAGTTTAATAAGCAGCTTATTCATATATTCATAAACATATTCCTCCTTTAATAAGTATCTTACTAATTACTTATTAAATGCTTAAAAGCATATAACTAGAACAACATCATTTAGAGAATAGTGAAATGAGCAGCTTATTAATATGTTTATAAGTACATATAAGCAATCTATAAGCATGTTGCTAATGTCTATTAATACCTTATTAATACTTAACAAGCACACCTTAATATAAAGCGTTACCAAAATATGAATTTTTTTGTAGATGTTTTATTTGGGGATATTACAGCTGTGAGATGTATACTAATGAATCATAACACAGTTTTCTCTATTACACATGTCAAAATCCATGGACACGAAAAAAGGAAGCATGAAAATCATCATTGTGAGAACTTGAAATGGATTCAGCTTCCAAAGCCACAGGTGAATGAAGTTCTCTTTATAAAAGTTCTTGTGGTGAGTCTTGGCAGGTCAGTCTGTTATAAAGAGGATCTTGATGCTTTGGTTGTGGGCGATTGCGAGACAGCGGGGGTGGAGCAAAATAAGCACATTTCGACCTTAAAGAGGTGATCAAACGTCTGGAGACATTTAGTAATTAAAAGAACACAAAGAGCCACGTTCAAAACAACGTTAGCAAACCATGTTAGCAACTTGTGCTGCCAAAAGATCTGATCCAGAGCTGAAGTCATTTGCATATGTGCCGCTTTGTTTACACCAATCTCTCACACGCACACGGTTTATTTTTGTCTTTGATATTTGTTAAACAATGAAGTCATCAGTTCCTTAACCTGTCCCTGTTCATGCATGCTATACTTATCACTCAGCACAGCAAATCACATGTGTGTATTATATAAATATTGATGGAGATGGATAGATATGTTGACTGATAGTTGGATTCGAGAATAAAAAACAGATCATTCTCACGCCATAATACAGAATTATTCACTCTTGTTGAATGTTTCTATTTCTCTTACAAAGTCCACTTGCAAAAGCATAAAGGAGTGGATTTAAGCTACTGTTGATGTACACAAATGCAGAAAAAATTAAGAGGCCAGAATCATAAAACTTAACGATCTTCAGGCTATTACTTAAAATGTCTATAATAATTACGAGATCAAAAATCATTACCGGCAACCACAGAACCAAAAATGTAATGGTCACAGCGGTAAGAAGTTTAAATGTGGACGGACTGTTGAAAAATGTTGTCTGTGTCAGTTTTCTGTTCAGAGTAATGTAAACCCACATACAAATGATGAAGGAGCTGAATCCAAGAGTAAATTCAGTGAGTATCACCGCCAGTTGTTGTGGTTGAGAGGAGTAGTGTGAAACACAGAAGTTCTTTTGCTGGTCCACAATAATCTGTCGAAATGCTAACATTGGGGTGGAGAGGACCATCGACATGAGCCACATCAGAACCAGGCGTCTCTTCTTGAACTGGAGACTTCTGTGTGGGTGAACCACCTGCATGTAGCGCTGGACACTCAGAGCAGTGACGGTCAGTACACTGCTGTAGATGCTACAATAAGTCAAAAATGTTACAATCTTACATCCAACAGCTCCAAAAGCCCAGTCATTACATAGAGCATAGAACCAAAAAAGTAGAGTGACCAAGCACAGCAGGTCAGACGAGGCCAGGTTCACCATCAGACACTGGGTCAGTGTGGACAGCTGCTGCCAGGGTCTGAGGATTAGAGCAGCTACATTTCCAGGGAATCCCACCAGGAAACACACAGACATGATGACTGCTGGGACCATCTTCTCAGCCTTCCAGATGAAGTGAGCTGGAGATCCGGTTGAGTTTGTGAGATTAGCAGAGGTCAAGTTCAACAGCTCCATACCTGCTACAGAACCAACAGTTTTATTACATCTTGTATTCTTTGGAGCACAACTTGTGTTTTTGGTAGTGCTGTCCAACGATTAAAATATTTAATCGCGATTAATCGCATGAATTTCATAGTTAACTCGCGATTAATCGCAAATTAGTCACACATTTGCGTGCTGTGTGCAATTGCTTTTTTTATTGAAAACAATGTGTAGTGTTATATTACACACTAACATTTGATGCAAAATCATCAATAAATGGATGACAAAATAAATAATTGGTAACAAAAAGCCCCTTCAATGTGTGTGTGTGGGTGTGTGTGTGTATGTGTGGGTATAGACCATAGACTGTATAGAAACATCATGGTGTCATTATGATGATGATAAACAATCTGTAAATATTTTGTAAATTTGTTCATGTAAATACTCTATGCTGTTTCTCTGTTTACCTTCGGTATATCTATGACTGTATACTGTTTGCTTGTATTGCCTTTTTTATTAACCCCTCCCCCCATCTCCCACTTCATGCCCCCCCCCCCCCCCCCCCCTCCCCTCCTATGTGCCCTTCTGGGTTTCTTCTTTGGCCCCCTGTATCTCCAACTACATATTGTTTGTAATCTCTGTCTACAATGTATCTGAACTAGTCCTTTTCTTTGTTTCTATTTTTTTTTCTGTATATGTGTTTGTCTGCAATAAAAAGTAAAAAATCGCGCGATAAAAAAAATGACGGCGTTAATATTGATTTGCGTTAACGCGTTAATAACGCGCTATTTTGGACAGCCCTAGTTTTTGGCCATATCTCATTTACTTTTATTTAAATGATTTTAAGCAGAAATTTGTAGCACACACTGGATGTTCGTATGCCTGTTTAGAATATTATGCAACCAAACCTACAGTCTATGTCAAAGCTAACGGACAAGGCCTTTTAAAACAAGACTGCAAAAATGATTGTTGAGGAATTAGCAATATTGTTGTTAACATTGGACTTAGATTGGCTAAAAAAAACATCCCAAATAACAATGAGCAGCTGAGGGGGTAAACTGAAAATCATTATCACTCAATGAATTGAATGTATTTAGAAAATGCAAGAATGAAACCTCACGTGGTATAAATGACATTTCTTGACATTTTTTTAGCCTTGGGGCTTAAGGGAATTGATTATCATAATAACAAATATGAATACACAAAATGGAAAGCTATGACATATGGAGACAAAGAAACAAATGGTTAGATAGCTACTTAGATGACAGATGACCAGATTGCAGAGACTGACCAACATACAGCACATCATGATTTAGGGACATAACTTGTGGGGGACCGCAAGGGTCAGTACGGCCCCACATTATTCATCATGTACATGAAATCCTAATTTACTCTCTTTACTCTTTACTCTTTACTGATGACATAAATATGATGTGCAGATAATGACTTGGGGAAACTCACTGTAACTGTGGATATTAAATAATTAAAAAATGCTGTCTAGCAATTGTAAAAGTATGTTATCAGTCAGGATTGCCATTGGTGATACCCATGGATATCACCAATGCAGATACAGGTACATGGCATTTCAAAATGAAACGCCATCGCACATTTTCAAAATGATCTTGCCACATCAAGTTCTCAAAGTTATACGCCAGATGAAATGTAATACAAGTGCTGGCCCTGATGGACTGGAAGCAAATTTTTTTAAATGTGCAGATAGTGCTCTGGCGCATCCCCTGGCTGAGCTCTTTAACATGTCCCTTACAACAAACTCTTTGCCACTCATATGGAAGTGTGCCAGAGTTACACCAGTCCATAAAGGGGGTAATCCAACAGATATCCATAATTACAGACCAATCTCGATAATATGCACTGTCCAAAAGATATTTGAAAAGATTATATTTAACCAATTGTCCTCATATATTGAGGATAACAACATTCTGTCTCAGTGTCAGTCAGGTTTCAGAGCAAATCACTCAACAACAACTGCACTATTGAATCTCATGTAGTAGTGTGGACAGTTTATCCGCCCACCAGCTGGGGGCGTCAGACGGCACACTATAAAAACCTTCAAAATATTGACGCTTGCCGTCTGTACTTCCGGGTGCTGGTCGCTCGGCTTGTGTGTGTGTTTGGGTGTCTCCGCGTAGCAGGTATAGTAATTTTAAAAATGAAGATATAATAGTTGTGTAGCTTGGTCCTCATCAGGCATGTTGTTCAGGTAGTGGCACTGATGGCTCTGGAGGCGCTTTTAATGCGCAGCTGGGGGCGCTTCTCTGTAGACCGGGTGTGTGGTCCCCGGTGGTCCTCTGAAGCTGGAATCATTCCCCCCTCAGTAGAACTCCAGAGAATGTCCTACCTGAAGTTTGGAACAGCCTGAGAGAGCCGGGTGCGCAACACAACCACCGCTGTCTTTACAGTCTTTTTTTACGCTGTATTTTTACCCTGTCAAAGAATAAGTGTATTCTGTGCTGCCACTGCTTTTTGAATAACAAGTACAAAATAAGCTAAATTAAGAAAAAAATATGCTTAAATGGAAACTTTTTGTCCTCACTCAATCCCCTTATCTGTGCCCATAGTTTGTTTTATTATTTTAACGTAAAAACATAACTACGAGCCCTCGGTTTGTCACACTCACAAATGACATTTTTTCTGCCTTTGACAACCAGGAGCTAACTGGAGCAATATTCATACTTTACTAAAGCATTTGACACAGTTGATCATTACCTTCTTCTGGACAAACTCTATTAAATTGGTGCTTCCAGAAATGTTTTAAACTTTGGTTTGACTCTTATTTACATTGCAGGAAACAATTTGTCACAGTACAAGGCACACCGTCAGATAT